CTTAGAAGTTGTCAAATTTATTTCAAAAAAGATTTTTGTAATATGCTTTCTATATCCTTTTAAATTCTGTAAAATCTGTGGTAATGTCTCCTAGACATTGATATTGTAATTTAAAAAATGTATAATTGAAAAAAAAAAAGACACTCATGAGAGAAAAATTCCAGAACTGCATCGGAAAGTGAAAAGAATGATGTAAATAAGTGTGTTCAAAGCAAGGGGGTGTATTTGAGGAGGATTAATGACAAATTGTCTTTTACTTAGTAATTTTAAAAAATTTAAACATTCATCATATTTTCAGTCACCCCTTATATTCCAGCTTCTTTTTTGCCAGATGATTGTTCCAGTATCATTTGGGGGAATAATGTACCTTTTCTCAAATGATTTGAAATAACACTTTTAGTGTATCTGAATTCCTTCATTTTTTTTGATTTAAACGATATACTTTGGATTCAGGTTTTCCATTTCTTTCTTTGGCTTCACTCACCACTTAACAGACTCAGCTTTAATCCTAGCTAATGCTACAAATTCCAAAAATCTTGAACTGAAAATTGCTTCTTTTAAAAAAGTCAGATGTGCATGAGCTAATCAATCCATGCATCAGGATTTGCCTTACAAAGTTGATAGAAGAACTTAGCCATTAGCCACTGGAGGGGCTTCAGGTGGGGGATGGGGAGGAGCACTTGAACCTTTCCATGGGCATAGCTCCTGGTGGTGGATCCTTGAGGAGGAAGGAAGTCAGAGTGAAATTGTCAGTAGCCAGTTCTATGCTGTAATGATGGAAGCCCCTTAAAAGGGGGTCCCGAATACAAATGACAGCACTCTTAAAAAAAGAAATAAAGATCACTGGATCTGAGAATGAGGGGAACCTCCAAGAAGTATCATCCACTCTGTATTGCAGCACAGAACTTCTGGTCATTGATTTCTAGTTTTGTTGTATTGTGGTCATAAAATTCTCAATATGATTGCCATTTTTAAAAATTTGTTGAGACTTGTTTTGTGGCCCACCATAGAATCTATCCTGGGAAATATTCAACATACAGTTACAAACAGAGCTCTCTCATAAATGCATGCACCCAGGCATGCGCCCTCCATAACAGCTTCTTTCTTTAAAACAACATTTGAATATGATGTCATTGTGACATAGGGGAAATAATATAACTCCCAGTCTGCTAGATCGTGTTCCCCAAAATCAAAGAAGTAATTTTAAGGAACAATGGATGTTAAGGGTAGGAAAAATTTATTGAGAGAGATAGTTCTTGAGAGACAGGAGGGCACCCAAACATAGGTTGCCAGTGAGCCCTCTTCTCAAAGGAAGTTTTATAGGATAAAATCACAAGGTGGTACAAAATCACAAGATGGGTACAACAGGGGTCAAAACTATGATCAAACAGTAAGATTACAAGTACAGCCACTTAGACAATATTTATTCAGTGGGGAAGCAGGTCACGTAGCAAGTGTACATGGAGAGAGCAAAGACCTTTTTAGGAAGGGATGGATCACGAGGTCCTGCTCACCTACATGGGTGGATGATGGCTATCTGGACTTAATTGAACCATTGAAACCACTTATTTTATCCCTTGGGGAGGTATGTAGGCCCAGTTATTCTATATTTATCTTGAGACCTGGCCTTCAACAGATGCACCTCTAGCCACATTTGTAGTATGTTCTAATCTTCTGCACTGACTCCCTCAAGGGCCTATCCCCATCTGACTGCCTAGCATATTTCTACCTAAGTTAGCTGTCTATAGTATTCCCGCCTCTGAAGAGGTACCTTTAACTGCCATGAAGGGCTGAGGGGCAATGATTGTTCTGGCTACTTCTGGCTGAAAGGGGTTATAGTTGTGATCTGTAGTCAGGGATATTCTACAGAGGGTCTGTCTAAAGATCCTCGATAGATGCTAGGCATTCTTGCCTTGGGTAGGCATATAGCCTTAAGTTTGGATGCGATGAGGCCAAAGAAACAGTTAGTATGCATGGGCTAAATAATAAGATCAACAAGACTATTATATATACAACCAACAAATGTTTCTTCCAGGAAGAACTAGTAATAGCCTCCCACAAAGAGGGTAAGGAGAAGGTCCAGGAAATTTCAGAATTCAACGTGACATTAACCTGTTATTTAATATCTTGAACAGCCATTGAGATATTAGCAGAAGGATCAGGAACGTACACAGCATTCAGCTTTTACAATTGTACAAGTAACCCCTTGTGCTGCTGTTAGTTTATGTAATGGCATCCAATTTTGGAGGACAGCTTGTCTCATTAATTTTACTTCTTCATTTAGGAGAGAGAGTTGAGGTGCTGCTTAAGGCCCCTTGAGTATGGTTGTAGTCCCAGGGGCAAGTGAGAAACTTTCAAATGTCTGATGTAGAATCACTACTGCATACCAAGGCTTTCTTGTCCCATTTTCCAGGAAGGAACTGCCATCACAGAAGAGTTTCAAATCAAGGTCAGTAAGGGATGTGTCTAAAAGTATTTGGCTGCATACATATAGAGAATCTGTTGCAGTCGTGTCTTTCAGCCTCAATTTTTTTCCTTTTCTGGTAGAAAAGTGGCAAGGTCTAAGGAGGAACATGTCTTTATTTGAATAGCTGGTCCTTCTAAAAGTATACCCTGGTATTCAAGAAGTCGGTTGTCTGATAGTCATAGGCTCCCTTTGGAAGAAAGATGTCCTCCCATATTGTGAAGTGTATATACAGTGAGATCTTTGCCTAAAGACAGGTTGGATGCCTCTGGTATCAGGAGACCTATGACAACCACAGCTCTAAGGCATCCCATGATACAATGACTAATTCATTCCTCAGATACCCTAAAGGCTGTTGAGCACTCTCAGAGCCATGCCCCACCTTTCATCAACATATAGACTGAAACAGTGTCCTGTAGGTAGGCCCAGGACTGGGGCATTCAGAAGCACTTGTTGAAGCTTCTGGAATACAGTTTGGAAATCAAGTTCCCAGGTTAAAATATGAGTATCTGCCTTTTGGGGTTCCTTTGTAAGCTAAGAGAATGTGTACATGGAAAGAATAGGGCCTTTTTAGGAAGAGATGAATCAGGAGATCCTGGTCACCCACTTGGGTGAATGACATATGTCTAGACTTTATTGGACCACTTATTTTATCCCTTAGAGAGGTATGTAGGCCTAGTCGTTCCATCTTTATCTTGAGGCCAGACTTTCAACAGTTGCGTCTCCAGCCACAGTTGTAATGTGTTCTCATCCTCTGCACTGACTCCCTCAAGGGCCCTGCCCTATCTGACCGCTTAGAATACTCCTACCTAACTTAGCTATCTATAATAATTGGGTCACCCAGCCAGTTTTCAAGAATCTCACAACACAACTAGTTCTTGGAAAGCAAATGACTATTATGCTGAATCTCATTGGGACTATTTGTGGTGGGAATAAACATTTCAGTCATGGCAGAACAAGAAATGCTGGTTAGGAAGAGCAGACATAGTCTCTTTAAGGTTGTGTTTTATTACCTTTGCAGTATGTACACTGAGCAATGGACATAGGCATCTTCACTGAGAATGAGACTTTGCAAAGAGACAAGGTTTGGATAAGAAGTCTACAAAGTGAGTAGATAATTTTTTTTCTTTCCTTCCTTATTTTTCCCCAGAGAAGGAATGTCTGTGAAAGACTATGAATCAGGCAATATTTGGCCACAGAAAAAGTAGAAAGGCTTGAAAAGGAATCTGCTTTCATTAAAATAAGATTGAAGGCAAAGAAGAAAGAATGAGAGAGAATTGATACCAATTTTCATTCACTTCCCAGATATTTCCTTGGTAGCCGCTATGTTATAAGACTGATAGGCAACGGTGAATAAAATCTGGGCCTGTCCTCCAATAGCTCATAGTCAACTTGGGAATGATGGAGATCTGAGAAATAGAGATAAAGAACAGTAAAGAACAGATTTAGGGAAAGGACTAAGTAGTACAGATAAGGCAGGAAAAGATTTTGCTGCTGTGTTGGGTTTTGTTTCTGAATTCTGCTGCTTCACACCTCCTTGACTTCCTTTCATTGCTGGAAATTGTAAGTAGTGGCACTTGTCCCTGGTAGTTGTGGGCATTGGAAGCCTACTGGATGGCTGTGAGAGCTTGGTGTCCTGTTCCCTGTTAGCAGCAACAAGAATATGCTGAGCAGCTGGCTGCTGTTAATGGAGCTCTTCGGGTAGGGACTGTCTCACCACCCATCTGAACACATGGCCTTCACCCTTCCTTCAGTGTGGCAGGAAAACATAGGTTTATCCTGCACTTTCATTTTGATCCATATGGTGTGGCTGTGGGCCACCCCAGAGCTCTGGGCTTAGACTCTTTCCTACCTTTACTTGGGGCCTTGCCATCATCTGGGTCCTATATACCCATGCACCAAAGATGCCTGAATTGATAACCTCATCCAAGAACTCTCCAAATGTGTATCCTGTTAGAGGTTTGATTTCCACTCTTGGAGAGCAAATAAGCATCTGAAATTTATGTTGCAAATTGAGCTCTTGATATAGACCACTCAATCTGCTCTTCTCATAGTCTTCTGCCTCTCCAGAAATGGCAATTCCATGTTTCAAGGGGCTCAAGCTGAACTTCTTGGAGCTATCCATGCTGTCTAACTTTATTACCACCCCATGTCTGGTCAGCTCTCTCTAAGATCTCCCCCAAATCCCACCAATCCTCACCACCTCCACAGCTCCCACTCTGACCCAAGCCCCCCTTTCTCACATGGACTATCACTCTGATGCCTTAATCTCCTCCTCTCCTTCCATTCTGGACCCTTCTGTCTCTCTTTATTTCAGTGTTTCCTCCACATAAGTCAACCCATGCACTGTCTCTGGGAAATCCTCCTGTAGCTCCCATCTTACTCAGACAAAGCCCCAGCCATGCCAGTCTGGGCCCACTTTGCTCTTACCCCTTCACTCTCTCACAGCCCGAGCTGTTCTTCTGACTCACTCCCCTCCAGCCACACCTGCCTTCTAGTTGTTTCTTCATATTGGCACTCTGCCACTTCAGGGTCTCTGTGTGGCTGCTTTGTCACCTCCAGGTTTTCAAAATTAGATCCCCTGAGGAAAAAGGTGGCACATTCAGAGTATTGTAACTTCAGGGTGATTTGCTGCAACAGATGGTGCTGACTTTGAGGGCTTGTGGTCTCTCTCTCTCTTTCTCTCTCTCTCCCCCTTCCTTCCTTTCATCTTTCTCTCTTTTTCTTATTCTTTTTTTTTTTTTGGTACTGGGGATAGAACTCAGGACCTTGCACTTGCAAGGCAGGCAGCGGCACCACTGAGCTAAATCCCCGGCCCCTCTCCTTTGTTTTTTGAGACAGGGTCTCACTATGTAGCCCAGGCTGGACTGGAACTTGCAGTGATCCTCTTACCTCTGTCTTTTGAGTGCCGGGATTACATCCTATGGTGTTTCTGAGAAATGGTTCCACAGTATCTCTAGCATGTTCTTCCAACTGCCAGCTCCCATTCTACATGTTCTAAGGAATTTCATTGATCTTAACAGGTGCTCAGACAACATCTAGGACTTGCATCCCTTCTGCCCAATGTCCTTAAATTGTATGTGGCCTAAAATGCTGAGGGTGGCATTTGTGCAGTCACACTGCTGGAAATACAATAGCTCCCTCTTATCTCCTAGGACCACATCCCAAGATGCTCAATACCAAAGGTGGTACCAAGCCCTACATATAGCAAGGCTTTTCCTGCACCATACTTATATACCTATGATAAAGTTTAATTTGTAAGTTAAGCACAGTAAGACATTAATAACCATAAGGAAACTGAACAATTACATGATAAGTTATTTAAAACATAAATTATTTATTTCTAGAATTTCCTCTTTCATATCTTCAGACCTTGGTTGATCATAGGTAATCAAAACTAAGAAAAGTAAAAGCTGGGCCGGGGATTTAGCTCAGTGGTTCTGCCACCTGCCTTGCAAGTGAAAGGTCCCAAGTTTGATCCCTGTTACCAAAAAAAAAGGAGTAAAAACTTTGGCTAAAGGGGTCACTCTGCTGTAGTCACTTTGCTTATGTGCAGGCAGTGACCACTGTGTGGGGATTGTCATCTGCTAAAGTACAAAATGGCTCACATGAGAGCAGATGAGGGAAGAAACAGAAAATCTGCATGGCTGCTGGAGCTAATCTCCCAGGATTCACAACCCAGCAGGGATGGGAGGCAGTGGGAAGGTGGTGTCTCTGTTACTTTCCTCATCACTAGGACACAGTACCCAACACCCACAATTTAAAGGAGGAGAGCTTTATTTCGGCTCATATTTTCAGCCCATGGTTGGCTGGCTCCAGGGCAGAAACAACCCTAGTGTAAGGGCCTGATAGAGGAAAGGTGCTCATGTCAAGGTAGCTAAGAGCAGAGAGTGAAGGCGGAGTCAGGGAAGGAGCTCTGCCCTTCCAGGTCACACCCCCAGTTGCCCATGTCTTGTCACCAGACCCCACCTCCCAACAGCACACTCAGCCACTGAACTCACCACTGATGAGTAACAGCCCTCACTATCCAATCACCCTCCAAAAGCCTTGTCTCTCAGTGCGTGGGAGTTTTGTGGGACATTCCAGATCCAAACTGCAATAGATAGGAACTCGACAAGACTACCCTGAGGATTACTGAAGACTCTCTTGTACCCAAGCCATAGTCTTTTGCAAACATGCATATATTTCAGTTTACCTAACAATTTATTCTTTTAATTTCTGCTTACCCTTAAATGGTAGGTGGCTTTTGAGTTTTAGTTTTAAATATTTCTATTTCTGTGACTTGCTTAATTATTTAACATGTAAAATATTTGATTTAATGAGAAAATTCTAAATTTTGGAGAAGAATTTATATAGTCCTATTGTAAAGGACCTTAATTTAGCAACATGCATCACTCTCTGAATCATCCGCATTTGTGAGTTGAGATTTCCTTCCCATTATGGTCCTTGCATCCTGAGATGTGTGAACATGAGGAGGGTTCAACGCTGTACCGTGACCTGGGTCATGGAATTTCTAGCTTTTGATGAAATCCACATGGCTGGACAGAGGTAAAAACTGGCTCTCAATGAATTGTTTTATTGCCAATCTTGGCTGAGTCAGAGTTTGAAGAATATAAGTAAAACTCAATATTTCCTCTGACTAACACATTTATTAGATTAAAACCAGATTCACTTTTTTTAACTCACCCAGGTTCATTCTCTGTGCTCTCCAATTGTCCCATTATCAAGATACCTGATGAATCAGTGGTGCTCCTTGGGCTGTAATTTATAACTCCATTCGAAGGCAAAGAAAACCAGAAATTATGTTGAACAGTGAAAAACTGTCTCCTGACAGAATATGCTAACTTCTAGGTAGAATTTTAGTAAGCGTGTTGGGGAAGAATGAGGATACTCCCCCACCAAGTAATTAGAAGTAGCTCTTTGGAGTGTATGCTGTTTGTTCTCTTTCTAATGAGAGTCCACTTTTCATGTTTAACTCTTGTTTCTCTGCCTGACTCTTCTTTACCAGTATTTCCTTGGTCAAAATGAATCAGTTGGTCTGGTGTCTACAGCCTCCATGCCTCAGTGGCACACAGCAGCAAGCCTTCAGGGCTCTTCCCTCTGTGGTCAGTGACTGTTGGCTGGGGCTGGCCAGCTGCAGGCTGATCTAGGCTGGTTCTGTGCCTGCGTTGCTCATTCTCCCATGGTGCCCTGGGTAGCCCAGAAACGCTCTTTGCATGCCAGAGGTGGAAACAAAAAGAGCAAGCAGAAACGTGCACGATCTCTCGAGGCTTAGGCTCCTAACTGGCACACTATCAATTATGCTTCATTTAGGGAACAAAGAAAGTTTCGTGGCAGGGAAATGTACTCTTCCTCCACAGTCAAATGACAAGAGATGTGAAAACAGGGAGGGGAGAAGAATGTCGTCATCTACCTCAGTTGGCTCCAAGTTAAAATTAAATAAAAATTCCCTTCTTTGTAATTTATCTTTACAGAAATCCAGAACCCATGGCTTTCTTTGCAGTCTTTCGAACAGCATTCCTGTTAGCAGTGCTGTCTTGGAGAACTTGCCAGAGTGAAGGTAAGAAGCAGAAAGAATAAAGAAAAAATCACATAGAGAAAGAGTGAAGTAGTTTATGCTCTGTAGAAAAGTGAAATGATTCTTTTCTTTTTTTTGAGAATTAGTTGGATTTGGCAAATAGCTCATATTAAGAGATATGTGAATCCTTCTAAGTGATAGTTGCCTTAGTCTTGACCTCCTTCATCCTTATGGCGCATTTTAATAAGCCACTCCTTAAGCCTGACTTCCTGGTCAGTTCAGGGTCATCTTCGTAGTTATCAGTAAGCCAAACCACCAGAACTTCCTGATTGATATAGTTTACCGAGGCCATTGCTGAAGGAGGTCCTTCTATACCTTGCTGAGTAAAGATATGAAATATACCAAACTAGTTTTGGCTGCTAGATCAGAACAAGTTGTGATGTCCCTGAGCCACATTTATTGAGAAGCTGTTAGCTTTATAAAGCATGAGTGAAAGAAACAAAACTTTGACAACCAATAGAATCGGTCAGGTCTCTCAGGGTAGTGCTAAAATGTTGTTTATAGTTAAAGAAATAATATTTTTCATTTCGCTACCCTGTGAAGAGGGTAAATTTCATAAATTTTCATGCATTCATCTGTATTTTACAAAGCTTTACATTTTCCTCTTTCTGTGTTTATTCTTTTTTTCTGTGTTTATTCTTTTCTGTACTTGCTTTGTAACAAAGAATATAGATATATGCACTTAGGAATTATCCACAATTTCTGTCCAAAGATTCAGGAAAATAATGTTAGCAAGGAATAGTATTTCTCATTTTTTCCTAAAGCTCCAGGAAAAGGTATTTGGGAAAGGAGGAAATTTGCCTCTGATAATTGCTCAATTCTCTGACTAATATTCTTTAGATCTGGATTTATTTATTTTCTACATAGGGTACCTGGGAAGATTCTATTTCTTATGGCTCTTTCAAAAACCATAGCTTGTTGATTTCTTCCATAATCTGGGGCTGAAAGGTAGCATTTTGCATTAGTTGCATGTATACCTCTCACTCGGTCTGTCCTGTCTGCTGAAATCTGAGCATGCTGCAATTGATCTGAGTGGGTAGCAGGTACAATAAGAACATTCTGTGCTTGGCAACAAAGACAGTGGTGGCTGCAGTGGATATTCCTGCCTTTCTACCATTTCCACTGCCATGTATCCTTCGACCAGCAGCCTTGCCTGGACTGGGACAGAAGGTATAGATCCAGCCCCTGCCTCAGTGAAGATATCATACTGAATTAACAAAGACGGAGCTTCTTACAAATGCTTTTTATAAAAGGCATCTGTGGAATACTCCTACAGTTCAGTAATAAAAGATTTCACATTATGAGGTGAATGGGAGTATAGTATTGTCAAAAATAGACTTTGTGATCTCTGCATCAATATTTTTAGCTTCCTGGTTGTTGCACAGGGAACAAGTCCATGTTGGGGAAAGTCCATGTTGAAAAGCTGAAGCCAGTACTAGATAAGTACCATCAAATTTCTCCACCAAGTTCTCAGCCTGACAAGAAGAATCACTTTGTGTCAACCTAATGTGGCATTCAAAGAAGTTATATGACTCTTTTCAAGATGACCTTGAAGATTATGTTAAAGTGCAGAAAACCAGCGGCTTAGAGCCACAGGCCTATATCTGAAAGATGAGAGGACTATGAGAAGACGCCCATCTGGAACCCTCCAGACCTACCCAAGATTGTGCAATGTTTCACATACAGAAAACCTGTTACCTCAGTGGCTTCCAGCTCATGACAGCAGGCACAGACTGGAGTCTCTGAGTTACTGTTTCTCAGAAAAACCAGTGCCCTTGAACCATATCTAGCAATAATATAATCACAGTTCGTCCAGTATAGAATTGGGAGAGCCGAAGCACCTCTCCTCAGAAACAGGACGAGGGCCCGTCAAGCCAGTCATCGGAAGAGAAAGCAGCACCCAGGAGAAGGCAGGGAAAAACCAAAGGAGGAGTGGCCCAGCCACTAGAGGAGAAGAGTTTCTGAGGAAGTGGATTTAGAGGAACACTAGAGCATTCAAAGAAAGCAAACAGAGGCGGAAACAGACTGCACACCTCAGTACAGAAAAACTTAAGCATCAAAGGGAGAAAAAAAGCTGAGATGTAACCTCTAAGAAAGAGGCCCAAAAGTGTAGAAAGGAGAAAAAGAACCAAGAAAAGAAAGGACAGAGGAAGAAATGCTTGGGACCAGTCTATCCTTGATTTTGAAGCTCTTTAGTGGGTTCTCCTAAAGCTAAATTGAAAAAAAAATAGCTGAGGAGCTCAGTTTTATGATATTTGTGCTCATATCACTTATGTGAATAGGTACTTTAATTTCTAACAAAGGCTAAGTGGACATAAAGTATTTAGTGTGCCTGCTTTCCAACACGGAAATTACTTTCCCTCATTTTCTAAAAGCATTATTACATTTATATTATTTCCCTTTAGGAGAGTAACTCAGGTTTATTCAAATCACTATGATGCTGGAATTATTTTCCCTAGGGAAATAATACATTTTAAATTGGAAGATTAATAGGCTTTTCAGAATCTATTTCTTGATTGGATTCATTTTAGCTTTGAGTCAATTTTTTTTGTTCATTGGTTTTCTCTATGAAGCAATTTAGATATTTTTTCCTCTTGTTAATTTGCAGTGTATTTTCTAGGTTGGAAAGTGGAAAATAAATTATAATAACTTACGTTACATACAGTTTTAAAAGTTTCAGAGTTGGTATAAAATCAGTTTATATTCTGGAAATGTTTTTAAGAAAGTGTTTTACTAATAAAAAAAAATAAAAGAACATCCCAGCCCTGCCAAAGGTCCTGATGCCAACACAAGCCCTCCAGCCCGTCCAGGTTCTCCACCAGGGGTTCCCAACAAGATTTTGCTGCAGCTCCTTCCCTAGTGCAGGCTCATTATCTGATCATGCATTCCATGGTACAGTGCTCTGCTCTCAGACAGACTCTCCTGCTTGCCCTCTCGGCTTCTTTCCTTGAGATCAGACCTGCGTTTCCCTATTTTCCTATCAACCAGTCTTTGTTTCTGCTTTCACCTTTTCTGCTAAGCAAAGCTTCTTTAGTAAGCAATCCTGTCTTTATCTTCACCTGGAGTGCTGCTGTTTGGATTCCTTGTTTTGATTTCTGTTGTATTTGATGGAGTACTTAACTAAAATTTCACTCAGAGTAGGTAGGTTACCACTCAGTCGACCTGCTGGGTTTGGGTCTAAGGATCTGTTTCAAATAACCCGATTTAGCCAATGAGACAGAGCCAAGAGTCTGTTCAGTTAACTCTAGGTACTTGTTTCCATCAGCCAGAAACCACAACTGCAGCATTTTGATGTATCTTCCTTGGTGTGTGTATGTGTGCATGCAAAGTTGCAAATATGTAGTTTTTTCAAAAATAAAAGTTAAATTATACTCTATCCTGTGGATATTTTATGGATGGATGGTTCCCTTCGATATTAAATGTTTTTCTGGAAATGACATTATATTTAAGTGCTGCATAGTATACGGTCTTGCGAATGGACCAAAGTTTATCTCCTCAAACAGTGTTGGGCTTGTCAGAGGACAAGGTTAGAAAAGTGGCAGAAGAGTCTCTGATGAAGCCCATGTCTGCTTCTGGTGCCAGAGCTTCATGGCCACACCACAGAAAGATGACAGAGAAGCTTGTCTGGGAGCCCAGCATCTCTGTGAGCCCTTGGCAAAGTGTCATCCCTTCTTTTAACCTTGCCTCTCTCGTCTGCAAAATAATGAGCCTGGATTTAATCATCATTTTGATCCCTTTTCTCTCACTGCCTTTACCTCGGCATTTTATTGCTTTTGACCAAATTATTTCCAACTAATATTATTCAGTTTACCTGAGTCATTCAACACTTGCTGACAGCATGTGTAAAAGAGCTCCTTTTTTTCCAAAAGCAATGCTTTGTAACTTTCTAGGCATTCTATAAATAAAGTTGATATCAATAGTTGACTCATTCATTCAGCAACCAGTCACAGAACGCTATCCTGCAACCAGTCTGTTATTAGTATTGGTTTTCCTGAGCTGAATTAAGACTTGGTCACACCTCTGTTTATGTCACAAGCCATGGGAGACAAACACAGGAAAAGCCCATTACAGCAGCTGCGGTGAGTGCTCCAAGCAAGTGTGAGGAAAGCCAGAGAGTGATGCATTCTGAATTATGATTAGAGCCTAGTGATCCAGATCTCTTAGAATATTGTTTTTTAAATATAATATATTGTGTGGATCTGAAACTAGCACATATTTCCAAAGAATATTTATCAAATACAGAAAAGTACAAAGAAAATATTAAAAACCACTCAATTGTAACATCCAGAAATAATGACTTAACATCTTTGTTTTACTTTTATAGGTTTTAACAAATAACTTATGTATTTAAAACATAAAATGGGTTGCAAGTTTCAGTATGTTTTTAAAAATCTGTTTGTATTAGTTTATTTTATGTTGCTAAAGCAAAATATCTAAAGCTGGGTACATTTTGAAGAAAAGAGGTTTATTTAGTTCACAGGTTGAAAGCCAAAAGTCCAGAATCAGGCATCCCTATTTGTTTCCCCTCATAGCAGATGGTATCATGGTGGAAATGATGATGATGATGATGATGATGATGATGATGATGATGTGTGTGTGTGTGTGTGTGTGTGTGAAGAGAGACAGAGACAGAGAGGTGTAGAGTATCGTTCCATGTACTAGTTGGCCATTTCTGTACCATATCTGGAGAAATGTCCATTCGAGTCATATGCTTATTTTTAAGTTGAATCCTTTGTTTTTCTGTTGCTAATTTATAATGTCCTTTATATAGTCTGGATACCAGAAAATTATCAAATACATGGTTTGCAAAGTTTCTTCCCATTCCATAGGTTATCTTTTTACTTTTTTTGAAAATGCTCTCTAGATGCATAGAAGCTTTTACTTTCAATGAAGTTCAATTTATCTTCTGTTGCTCATGTTCTAGGGACATATTTAAGAACTCAGTGCCAAATCCAAGGTCCAGGAGTCCACATGTAGCACTGTCACCCTCCGCAGCATGGGATTTATAAAATATCACGAGGGACATGGGTAAAGTTCTGTGCAGGTAGCTGTCAAAGGCTAATGTCTTTCATTTTACAAATACTTTCATTAATCTCTTCCGTAGAATGAGTTGTCTGAAATTTTCTTCCTCATTCTGAGGGTGATACCTTATCTGAATTTGAAGCCATTTACCATGGAGACCAGTAACACAAAGAACTTCATGCTTATCTTGTATCCTAGACTTATGCGGCTCCATCCACATATCTGTATCCTGATCTTCACAGGACATTATTGAAGCCATGAAAAAACATTTGTCTCAGACATTGAATTCTGTGAGACATTTGACTGGATATCTGTTCCTGTCTTAACATTTAGGGGACAATGATACAAAGAGGAACAAGACTTTAGTATTAAAGAGACCACTATTTACATCTCATACTGTAAATCTTTGTGTACAGCTATTTAACCTCATTGAGCTTCAATTTCTTTACCTATAAAAATTACTGTCTTATAGTTTCATACTGAGTATTGCATGAAACAGCATAAGTAAAGCAGCTACCACTGTGCCTGCTAAATAACTCATGCCTGGTATTTTTCTTGTTGTTTTTACTTCCCTGTGAAAAAAACAAGCTTGTGTCTACCGGCAATGAGAACATTTTTCAGCATTGGAGATTGCTTTCATTTTTGTTGTCAAAAAGATATATTTTCTGACCTTTAAAACTTAGTACCAGAAGGTTTTTAATTGTTAGAGTAAATTTCCAATGAGGTAAAAAAATGAGTGCTCAGGAGATGATATTTGTTATATTATGAGTCATCAGACACCACCCGATTTTATCAATGCATTCTTTATCTTTTACAAACCTTTGCATCATTCTCAGTTTACTTTGGATACCCTCAGTCCAACAATTGAAATTGATGAATCAGTAATACGCAGTTCCTTTCAAATTGTTATGATGTTGCTTACTGCAAAGTGGAAAGTCATGATTTATTCTTCTCTAAGAATCAGCAGTGGCTTCCTCAGCACCAATCTTCTCTCTAATGGCAGAGTATATGGCTTATGGCTTTGTGTCTGGTCACTGGCAGTGATGCCACTGATGGCTTGGAAACAGCCAGCCTGTGCAGTGCAGTGAGATGCTTCTCAGCAGAATTCCGCTGGTATTCAGGAGGATGAGATGGGAGGAACACTTGATTCCAGGACCTCAAGAACAGCGTGGGTAACAGGAAAACCCCACCATGGAAGGAAGGAAGGAAATAAGGGCAGAAGACCTGAGAGCCACTTCCCAAGATTAATGATCTACACAAATCTATTAATGTTTTGCTGTTGTTGTTATTGTTTTGGGCATTTGTTGTTGTTTGTTTTTTGAGACAAAGTCTTATATGTAGTTCAGGCTAACCATGAAGTCACTATATATACCAGGCTGGCCTCGAATTTGCTGCAGTCCTCCTGCCTCATGTTTGAATTCCTATTTTCCAGACTCCATCCCAGCACTAACTACTCTAAACTTGCAATTTCCATTTATTTCATATGAGTTTGTTGTGCCTCTCCAACTGGGTTCCTTCTTTGAGGTAGGAACTTTGTCACAAGTATCTTTGTTTCGCATTAAATGCCTAGTATATTGCTAATTCCACCCAGATTTCAGTAAATTTTCAGAAACCTGAAAGACAAGTGATCATGTCTGGAGAAAAGATATCCCCCCACTACATAGCTTTTTTAAAATTATGAAATATTGCCTGTCATAAAAGAAAATGTTGCCAGGTGTGGTAGCGGACTTTTTTCCTAGCTGCTTGGGAAGCTGAGTCAGGAGATTGCAATTTTGAGGCCAGTTTGGGCAATTTATGAGACCCATCTCAAATAAACATGTTTTTTTTTTACCAAAAGGCTAGGAAGGAGCTCAGTGTTAACTTGCCTACCACACACAAGGTCCTGGATTCAGTTTTAAGTACCATAAAAACAGGGAGGAAATTTCCATTTTTTATTTCTAGAATATGATGTTTATAGCAAAATAACTTCTTTCTTTAGCCCTGTTGTGAATTTTAAACTAATTAGATTTATCAGTAAAAACTCCTCTTCTTTTGTTTGTGTACCAGTTTATTAATTTGCTGTGTATTGTTAAGCAAATCATTTAATTCATGAAGCTTTTAATTTCCTGCTCCACAAAATAATTTCTAAATTTCTTTCCAGCTTTGCAAGTTATCTATTTCTAGGATGTACATATGAGCAATATTTTCCAAAGTTAAACAGTGATGAGATTGAACAGTTTAATGTTCTGTGACTATTCACAGGATCCTGTTAAGTTATTTTACACCTCTTTTCGGTCTTTCAGTCTTGCCTGAGCGTTTACCATTGACTCCTGAATCACTTCACATTTCCATCAATTCTACACTTCAGCATTTGCATTTACAATGGACTGTCCACAAGCTTCCTTACCAGGAATTACAAATGATATTTCAAATAGAGATCAGTAGATTTGAAACATCCAAAGTCATCTGGATGGTAAGATTTTTTTTTTTTGGCTCAATATTAAAAACAAAAAACATAAACCTTTTCTCATGCTGTGATTTGTGTTTTATAAGATCCAAAAAATTCCATTATGCAAACACATTAGAAGCTCAAAACACTTTTTTGAAAGAAGTTTGCTTTTTTTTTTTAACTTCAGGGAATATCCAGGACAATGTAATATGACCACTTTGGAATGATGGAATGTGTAAGAAAACAGACTATTTTCTTAGTTCTTCTCTGTCCTCTAAGAGGGTTTGTGAATATTGAATTCCTGAGATCCACGAAGATCAGCTGTCTCATTCTTTTTCTCGATTTCTTCTCTGTCCACCAGAGATTTTTCTAAATATGTTATAATAATTTGGCAACATTTTTCTTGCCAGCCAAAGTTCCTGTCATTTTCATTACTTCCACTGTGCTGACAGGCAGGGCAGAGTAAGTCCCAGCACTTTATGTTCTAGACAGCAAAGGCTCTCCATGGGTCTGTTGGAAAGTAACTTAGGGCTCTTTTGTTTCCACACAGGTGGGTTTTCTGCCCAAATAATTCAATTATAAAAATCTTTAATATCAATCCTTTTCAATTTGAATGATTTGGAGTGAATTTTCACTCATCTTGCTTCATGGTGGCGTCTCGTGACACTTCCCTTCTGGTGCACTGGGGTATCTTGGGTTTTATACACTACCATTGCTGGTCTAGGGAATAATTCGTACACATAAGGGTGAGTCATTGTCACAGGAAAGTGAAGGACATTGGAATGTTTCTCATTGAAGGGACCTGAGAATTCTTCTGCAGGTAAGAGAGCACAGGACTGTTTCAGGGACTCCGTTAGGACACCTGCCTTCTCTCGGGCAGTGGAGCCCCTGGGCAGAGGGATCTAGCAAGTTACCTCTTTAGTAAAGCCAAAAGGTTACCAATGCTAAATCTTCAGTTGCCTGTCTGTGCATTTCAAATCTGAGCAAAGTGGCGTGTAGGAAATAAAATTTTGATTCCACTTAGGATTCATACGAGGTCTATAATCCAGCTGCTCACAGACAGTTTCCCACAATGAGAACTGTTCAGCATCCTGATTATAAAATAGCAACGCTCATGTGTCGCTGTTCCCTTCCTACCATCAGCACTTTCATCTTTCCGCCATCCCACCTCATGTTAAGCAGGCCAATTTTTCTATTTTTGATGGATAAACTGGTGAGAAATTTGGGCCGAGGAAACCCTAAGAAAAGATCTTATTAAGGCTAAGAATGGCCAGGAAAAAAAAAATTGGGACAAGGGGCTGCTGGAGGAATTTTGCAAAACTAGTACTTAACACCATTAGCAAAGCCAACATCAACCATAGATCAGCTGGATCCTATTCCATATTTTTCTAACAGGCAAATCATATCTGTTTTGATGTTAGAGAAAGTAGTGTTTTCCATTGGCAACATGGATCCCTTTATTGTATCTGTTTTCATATTAGAAGCATGGGATAGCTTCTTTGCAAAGGAAAGCAGTTGTGGAAGTTAGTTCAGTCACTTACCAGGGCTCAAGATCCTTAAGAGTAGAGTTTGCCTGCAACAGAGGAGAAAACCAAGGCACAGAGAGCTTTGCTGTGTGACTTAAGGTGACAGAGGCAGAGCACTAGCATTCTTCACTCCCGTGGTCAGAGGTGCAAGATGACTAGTGCAGCCTCCCCAGGCCAGCGGTGACCACATGTCCACAGCATGGCTGTTCCATGAGAGACCCTTATCTGACCCTCTCAGGTCTGAATTTGAGGAGAGACCAAAGATTCTATCCCACCAGTAGGCTCGTGTTCACAAGGAGTCCCTGGTGGGGCACGTGTGGCAGGACACCTTCACTCCTATTGAGGGCGGTTTCCAGTTCCTGTCTCAGATCGCTGTGTTCTGAAACAAACCAGAGGAAAAGCATTGTGATTCTTGCAGCTGGAGCAGGGCCAACTTATGGACAGTGCTGGCCACACAGAGCTTGGTGAATCTGCCTGTCCCTTCCAGCCATTTGCTGAAGGGTTTTGTCAACAGCAGGGAAGGCAGACAAACAGCTTAATTTGGAAGGAGGCCAGGAGCATGAGTCATTTTAGGCCTAGGAGCTCATGCCTCCGCAATGAATCAGTAACCCCAGTTAGACTTCTATGTTAATGTGTGTGCAAGTTTCCTGTTACTTGCTAGTGTCCATAAGGGCCTAATTAAACTTGCCACTTCAACTATTGAAAATGCCCCAAAGGGAAGGCATTACATTTTTTTCTTTTAAAACTCACTGAATTGATGTATTCAAAGAAACTTTTATCTCTTTCATTTACAAGGCTTTAAAGAGCGAAGGCACAAGATGAGGTTAGACACAATCCACACATAGAGCATCTGGGAGAAACAGCCCACTGCTATTCATGAGTGACTGATCTGAGACTGTGGTCCAGGCTGGCATTGTGCAAGGCGCAGGGAAAGTGCTGAGGGGAAAACACACAAATAGAGTATTCTAAATGAGGATGTGTGTGCAGGTCACTGGCCAGGTGCTGTGTGTTTAGGGTGAGACCCTACACTCACCCACATTTGTATGATGAGTTGTTTGAATCAAAATGTAAAGGAGGACTGGAAGTTAACTTAGCAGGGAAGGTGGAGTAGAGGTGTGGGAGAACCTGTCACGTGTGATAGGGGCCCTGAGGGAGAGTGGTGTGAGCTGCAGGCCTGAAGGAGCATGTTGTATGAGATATCCCAGAATGTGGGGAGAGGCTTGGACAGACAGACATGGGCCAGACCACACAAGGCCATCGGGAGCATGCTCAGGTTTTGCTATTTTTATCTCAAGAGCAGTGAGAAGCAGGGAAGTGGCACAGTCTGATTAGAAGTCTTTGAAATCCCACTCAAGAGCACTCAAGGGAGAGCAGCCAGGAGACCGGGAGCAGCAGAAGTGGCTGCTAGGAAGCTGGCTGTACAGTTGGGTCCAGCAGGGATGGGAGGGACACAGAAGGGGCTGAATTTGAGGGAGATGCAGCAGGAAAATCTAGTCTGTGGTGTGTTGGCATTTGTAGTTCATGATGTAGTTTTAAAATTTTCTTTTTAGTGTGTTTGATATTTGTTTTTAGATAGAAGTATGTCTTGTGACCTAAGAATAAAGTTATACAGTAAGTTGAAATAAAATATAAGCATTTGAAAACATCACATTCTGCATAGGGTGAAAGGGATATGTACAATTAAATGGCACCACACTGGACAGAGGTGTTTTTATTCTAGGTGTCTGTTCATTTTCCATGGACACAATTTAAATTTCAGACTTAAAGCTAGGTGTGGTGGCACATGCCTGTAATCTCAACACTATAGGAGGCTGAGGCAGGAGGATCACAAGTTTGAAACTGTCTGCAGGAACAACTTGGTGACTTAGGGAAACCCTGATTCCAAATAAAAGATAAAATGAGGTTAGGGATGTTGTTCAGTCAGAAGGCCTCAGGATCAATTCTTAGTTATCACCATAAAAAACAAACAAACAGAAAGACAAAATGGGATCTTGCAGGGACAAGGGGAAGGCCTTAAGTTGCCACCTCCAGGAGGTGACATGTGGGTTACACCACCCCCTGACCCCATTCACTGAGAACTTACCACTTGCCCTTGGTTTCCCCTGTGAAAGACTCAATTTCCCCTGGGAAGTGTAAGATGTTTGCGGTCTCCATTTCCATCTCCTAGCTGCAGAAAGCAGGAGGCCTGGAGGAGGCACAAGGAAGAAAATGAGTGCCTGCACCACTGGGAGACATGAAGAAGAGGGACCCCCAGTCTCAGCTCTTTTGAGGACATGGTAGAATAAGATCAATACCAACAACTAAGCACACTATATAGGAGGGCTTCGGGGGAGATGGAGATGGGAGGAGCTCGGGAAAGAGCAAAAGCTGGCACCAGGGCAGTGACCTGCAAGCATGTCCCTCATTTACAATACAGCTGTTTGTGTATTTGCCCATCATGGGTGCATGAGGGCTGGGGATGTAGCTCAGTCTGCATGAAGCTATGGATACCATCCCTAACACAACAAAACCAACAGACAGTTTCATGAAGGAACTGGGGTGTGGTCTGGCATTCAAAGATGGAACAAACTCCCAGTGCAGGGGGAGTTGGGGAATTGAGCCAGGAGTGAAAGTATGAGGCAAATTCTAAATGTGTCAGGTAGACCAGTAGGGCCAGAGAGAAGATTCCTATAAGGGAGAGATTGGAGGAAGCAAATTGTAGTGGGCCTTGAATGGCAAGGTAAGATGTAATGAAGCCATGAGATCCTATTGTATTAGAAAATGGAAATGCCAGTGTCTAACAAAGATGAAGATCAATAGCTATACCAAAAGACCAAATTTCAGTTCCCCCTGGACAGGCTTCCCAAGAAGAGTAAGACATTCTATGTCATTAAGACCTCCAGGACCTATGTTTTGACATACGGAGCTCAAGGGATGGGCATAGTCCATGTGGCTTCCATATCTGAAACAGAAAGAGATAGAAAACCATAAGAGATGTGGAGAGCCTTACGCTGAGTTCTGGAGACTGGAACTCCCACAGTTCCATAAAGGACTGCTTTTTCTCAGGACATGTGGCCAATCTGATCAGACCCTACAATATATTAATATTTTAAATTACCTATCAACCTTCCTTATTTTTTAAAGGATGATTCAATGAAGTCTCTAGCTTTCAGGAATTTTCTGAGCATATTCTCTGTGACTACAACTGTCAACATTTCTGTCCCTGATCGTTTCTCCCAAGACCTCAGTGGCTTCTGTTTACATTTGTTCCACATGAGCCTCCTGGACTTAGAGGACCATGAGGACAAAGACCTTAGTTTTCAAGAAGCAGGAGGCCATAGCTGCCCAACTGTTGAGATATCAGAGAATGGAGGATTGGCTGGTTAGAATGGACTTCACTTGTATGTCTGCTGGATTGCAGTGGGGTTTAAGATTGTGCTTTGGGGTAAGTCAGATTGAGCTAATTTACAGGACAGGATGGCTACATTTTTCCAAATACTTCCTTTACTTTTAGGGTAATTACAGCACCACTGTGAAGAGGAACCAAGTTTTGCAATGGTCCTGGGAATCCGAGCTCCCTTTGGAATGTGCAACACACTTTGTAAGAATGAAGAGTACAGTGGATGATGCCAGGTTCCCTGAGCTGAGTTTCTCAAGCAACTGGAGCCCATGGGAGGAAGTTCATGGTAAGAAATGAAAAGGTTCCTAGAATGAGCAGGTTTAACTATTATTATCAAGGTGTGAGTAGTTACACTGTGGAATTTCTCTCTGAGGAATCTTAGGCAGACAGCTGACATCATTTTCCTTTTGCTCGTGTTGGAACTAAGAAAAAAAAAAGAATGTAAAACTTGTCCCATGGAGATGGATATCTGAGGTTTTCCCTTTGAACCTAGTTATTGAGATAATTACACAGTTCAGACAATTCCTTACTCATTTTCCAAATATGTGCAGTATGTTTATTACACAATGCTCAGGGACCAAGGCAGGCCATAAACCTTATATAACTGTCATGCCAGACAGTGGATATGCAGGGCCAGTGGTGAGGGCATTAAAGGAATTTTTCAGTATTCAAGGAATATGGGAAAGGCAAGAGTTTATTCATATTGGAATACCCTGTTGAACAGGACAGTGGGCACGTTTTCAAGAGAGGAATTGCACTGTGAGGGTGGGAGACTGGTGTCTTCATAAGGGGGAAGACGTGGGGAAAGGGGCCTGGGCAGTGGATATCTCAGAAACGCTTCTTCCAGGACCCTTGATTTCGCTGGCCCTTTAGGAATACGTGTACTGTGCTTAAAGTTGTGTACTAGAGTCACAAAGTGTTAAGTTCTCACTCAGGCTTCACAACAGCCCTTCATACTTAGATAAGAACATAGATAAGGCATGGGTAAGATAAAGACTTAGATAAGATATGCTTTCACATTTTTGAGAAAGAGATGACATTAGCTCTGGTGAGGGAAGGATAATATTTGTATTTACTTCTATTTTGTGCTGTTGTTTGTCCTCATTAGTTCGGTGCCTCATGACTGTCCACTACTTGCTGGGCAGAAGTGTGTTATCAAAGCAGTTTGGGTGCTGAGAATTTAACCCTTTTGTCAACACCCTGTATGTTTTCACTAAAATAATACAAAATGTGTATACATCTGAAGTAGAGATAGGGAATCATTTTCTGTAAAGGTCCCAGAAGCCTCTGTTGTGATTGTGGTGCATACCTCTGCCTTTTGAAAATAGCCATAAACAATATGTAGACAAATAAGAGTGATTGTGTTCCAATAAAACATTATTTACAAATGCAGATGATGGGCTTCAATGGTCCCAGAGGCCATAGTTTACCAGTCCCAAGGCTAGAGAGAAGGACCAGTATAACAAATAAAAGCATTTATAATGAACTTGTTAACAAATATGACTTAAATGTTCCTCATTTTGATAATTTAATTTTGTTGTAATTAAAATTTCAAGTGGGTTTTTCAGTAGCTTCTCAAGCTTTAATTAAGCTATAGGCCCAGTTCTAGAGCAATGGCATGTGTCTGTCTCACTATATGCCCTGCCGGTTTATCTGAAATTCTACCTATAGAATCATTCTTTTTTTAAGCATTTATGTAAATCTAGTAGCTCAAACACTGGTAACCTATTGATGTGAGTAGTTTAGTGTATAAATTAATAACACTGAAGTAACTGAATCCATATTCTACCATTTTAAGCATCAGACATTAATTTCATCCTCCTATCAGCTCTACGAAATATACTTTATTCTTATCTCTACTTCAGCAATGAGGAAATTGAGGCCTAGGAAGGTTAAAGAGCCCATGGAGGTGATCAAGCCAGAATTAGCCCAGAAAATAATGGAGCCAGGATTAGCCTAGAAAACCCAGCCTAGAGGTCAGCCCCTTAACGATTACATCCTACTGCTGAAAGAGGGACACATCTCAAGAAAAAAAAAATAGAGATTAAAAAGATAGTAAGAGAGAAACAACCACATTATAAACAGCTTTGATGAAATGGAGTGCATTGCTGAAAATTATAGCCCCCAAACTAATACAAGAATCAATGGAAACCCTGATTATTCCTAACCTGTCTTGATCACCTTCCTTGTTGCTCAGACGAAATACTCAACATTCACAACTCAGGAAGGAGAGGTTTACTTTGGCTCACATTTTAGGAGGTTCAGCCCTTGCATGGTCAGTGGGCTCCATACAGAGGCTGCATGTTGCAAGGGTTTGGCAGGAGAGAGCTGCTCACATGGTAGCAGTCACGAAGTAGACAGTGAAGGGAGGATCCAGGGAGGGAGACAAACCCAACAGAACCCCCCGACACCAAGTCAGCCATAAAGGGCCTATAATCCAGTCACCTTCGAAACACTTGAGGCTTTGGGAGTTACTTTAAATATAAAGCATAACAAATAATCCCTAAAGCACAGATTCTCACCTAAAATTGCATAACAGCATCATCAGGAACCTTAAAAAGGGTGATAAAAACAGGTGAGGACAGTAATGACAGTTTTCAATGGCCAGGCACATGGGCAGCCAGACTGGGTTGGACTGAGGAGTGAGCAAGTGTGGTGACTGAGCACCAAGCATGGGGAGCTTCTTCATGGAGGCCAGGTAGCAGGAGATGCTGGAGAAGAAGACAAGAAGAGGGTATAGGGAAGATGATGAGTTTCCTTCATAGGGAGAGCCTGCACAGTTTGAAATGCCAGTGAGCCATACAGTAGGAGGGACTGTAGCAGAAGGAAGAAATGAGATTGGAGTGACTGGCATTTCTAGAAGGCATTAAGATGTAATTGACAGGAGAGTGGAGAGATGATGAGGAACATATGGCTCAGGATCTGGGTAGACCTAACAGACCCAAATTTAGCTTTGCCACTGAGTAGCTGGGCAAACAGCCGCAGAGTATCTACTTGTACCGTTCTAAGGACGGACATGAGGTAATGTACACAACCTCTCAACATAGGGCCTCACACATGACCTGGACTCTGTCGACTGGTGCAACCATCTGCAGTGATGCTAGTAATGGTGCTACCTCTGGCAGTAAAGCAACAACAGTGGTATTCATTCTTGTGACAATAGATCTATGTTGGGAAGGATGGCTTTGCCCGCACCAAAGGGTAGAGGTTTGGTGTAGAAATGGAAGCTGCTGCTTGCTCTAGAAGGGAGATAAAGGTTATCTTCAGAGGGAGAAGTGGGGAGGAGGGTTTCCTTCAATTCTGAGTGAGATTCTAACCACGCTTATTTTGTCTGGCAGCCCACACTCCTGAACAGAATACTGACTTGATATTCCCTAGAGATAAGCTGGTGGAAGAAGGCTCCAATGTCACGTTTTGTTACAATTCTGGAATAAATCAAAACATATCCTGCTATTTGGATCGTGAACTGATTCATGGAGAACAACTTTATTTGAATATATTCACATTCAAGTTGAATAATGTTCCTTTCATTAGGGAAGGAGGGACAAATATCTACTGTGCAGTGAATTATACAATTAAGGATGGCACTGTTCTCTTTGTGTCAAGTAAGTGTGCAGCTGTTCTGCCTATCTCTCTTCTTATCTCCTATGGAATATGTTGAATCTCCTTTTCCAGAAAACAAGAAATCATTGCTATGCATGCATTTGATTTTCTGTTTCCCACATCTTCTAGGAAAGATTCTCACGATGATGTCCTGAAGCAATACTTGAGATTTCCTGTTGTTTTCTTGCCCTTACTAACAATTTGATTGCTAGAAAGAATCAATATTAAAGGAGAGAGTTCAGGTCAAGTCCTAGACCACTGAGATAATATTTTGCTTTGCCTCAGCCATGATGGAATTATCTTAAGCCCATGCAGGGAGGGCAGGGGCTGCAGGTCAGCTGACCACAGAAAAGCAGCAAGGATAGTGGCCTGGAAGACCCAGGTTCACATCTTCCCCTAGCTGAGCCATCCTCTTGGCCAAGTTTCCTGGCTTGTCTGAGGTGCCTCCCACCCCTGTGCAATGGGATGATGATGTTGGCTGTGGGCATTAGTGAACAAAAAGAATGCCTGGCCCCTATGTGCTTGCTGCATGCAGTAGAAGTTAGCAAGTGCTGGCCATTAAGTGTGTGGAAAATTAGTTCTATGGGCTGTATCAGTGCAGTGGAAACATGTTGATTTTCCTATGGGTCTCTTTGTGCCTACTAGGGACCCACTGGTTTTGTCTTGAGATTCCTGTTCCCCTAGATGGTGGGGGAATTCCTATTCCTCTAGATGGTAGCTGTCTATGACAGCTCCCTCCCAACTTCCCTTCCAAAGCAAGTATGCCAGCCTCTGGGATGCTTAGTTCATCTGTACCTTTTAGTGTGGCCCTGGGAGAGGCAGTGACTGGTGTCTCTGAGGTGTTTGTATTTGGATCACTCGACTCCCGGCTGCTGAGTTTGGCCAGTTCTCAAAGTCTGACTTTCTGACATCCCCTGGGCTTTCTGCAAGCTGTAACACACAAAATGAAATAGCACCAGGCACCGAGGACATATCCTGGGTCAAAGGGACAGTGCCAACCACTTACACAACATTGACTACCTATCTCACCCATGGTATCCGAGAAGTTACAAGAAAATCAGGAAAGGGAAGGGGCCAAAATGATGAGATGCCTGAAGGGTGACTGTCTGAGGCTATTGACTGGGGGTGGGGGCTTCAACCCCATGGGTCCTTTCAACCAGTGGGTCAGCCTCCCCTTCACTGGCTTCAGACCCAAACAGAGCTTCCCATCTGACTTGTCTCTCGATAAAAGGGCTTAATAGGCCTTACCTCTGTGCCTTTTTTCTCCATATGGGCAGAAGTGCTTGAGGAGCCCAAGGACTTTTCTTGTGAAACTCAGGACTTCAAGACTCTAAGCTGCTCCTGGGATCCTGGGGTGGACACTGGCTTGTTTTTTGATGGACAGCCTTCGCAACACTACACTTTATTTGAATCGTAAGTCAGCTCTGGTAACACTGTTGACAGTCTTCCTTCTTTCTTGTTAATGATGCGTGTGACAACATAAAACTAAACGTAGTTGTTGGAGAAAAGTTATACAAACATTTTTAATCTCCTCTACCACAGAAGAGGTTTAGGTGATGATGTGTGTATAATACTTTCTACCTCAGGTTTTTTTTTTTCAAGTATGTACAATAAAAGTAAGAAAGACAATTAATGGTATATCTATTATGTGTGAAGAGTCTCATCTGGTCATCATGCTTTATCTAACTTTTCTGACTTTTAAAGAATAATTAAAGTAAATTAATTGATTTTCTCACCACTCATGAGGGAGAATCATGAATTCCTTGTTAACCCTTTTAATCACATGTAACAAATTCACTGAAATGAATTTCATTACTAGTATTTGTTGGTACTGGATCAATGTCATTATATGGAATGCAGTTTGAAGGTCACTGAGTGTGCCAAAGACATAACTATTCATGTGCTTTGACAAAAATGTTAACTCCGAAATTGTCATTCTGTTTTTTAAGATTTTCTGGGAAAAAGAAATTTTGTGAACACAACAACCAGTGCAATTGGGAAATCTCTCGAGATTTGCAAGAAACATACAACTTCACACTCACAGCTGAAAATTACTTGAGGAAGAGGAGTGTCAATACAATTTTTAACCTGACGCATCGAGGTGAGGTTAGAGTTGGCAGCTCACTCTGGCCATTGACATACCTTTGACACACCATGCGATCAAGTATAGTGTTGGAGATTTTTACCTATTTAACAGCCTATGTGAAATTTATACTTCATGCCTATAGTTTATGCCATGAATCTTCTTAGATGCACTCATCCCCTATTATTTGTTTGTTTTAGTATCTTAAGCAGCAATGAGCTAAGCAACTTTGAAACCAGTACTCTGACATATATTTATTTACTGTTTTATCTCATAGGCTCCCTAATTTCTCTCATCTAGATTACTATTATTTTAAGTCATGTATAGATGTGCATGTGTGCAGGCTTGTTTCTTATGTACTTAAAAATGTTTTTATTCTGTTTAGTTTTAATATATCAAAAAGACATTAAGCTGTCTGTAATAATCTAGTAATTACTTTCTATATTTTTGAATTGCTATATTATTGAGTGTTGCTGCATTCTATTTTACTACTACATAGTATTTCATGTAAATATACAATATCTTTTTTTTTTTTTTGTACCGGGGATCAAACTCGTGATCTTGTGCTCGCAAGGCAGGCAGTGGAACCACTGAGCTAAATCTCTGGCCCAATACACAATGTCTTATTCATCCGTCTCCTTTTTTGTTGGGTTTATATTTTATTTTATGTTTGTTTGTTTGTTTGTTTTGAGACAGGTCTCACTATGTAATTCAGGCTGGCCTTGAACTCACTATGTAGTCCAGGTGGGCCTCAAACTCATGAAAATCTTCCTGCCTCAGCCTCTTGAGAGCTGGGATTACAGGCATGTGCCACCACACCCAGATTTCATGCATCTCTTTCAGTGGATACAAATTTGTATCAAGATTTTTGCTTTGGATTACAGTTTTAAATTGACATGAGCATTTTTGTATGTGTGTTCAGTATATATCTAACAGTTGTTTTTCTGGAGTACATAGCTAAGAGTGGAATTGGTTCAGACATAGAATAGATACGTTTACCATATGAAATCATATTAAAGTATTTCTCAAATGGTTATCCCAAATTATTTCCCAAAGTGGTTATCCCAAATGTCCTCCCCAATACATGCCCATCCTATGGATTCACATATTTTCTCAAAGTTGGTACTGTCATTCTTAATTATTACCAACTGAATTGATGTTATGATAGCCTTGACCCTTACATCCTTGAGGTTAAATCTCTTTTTCTTACATTTTGAACACATCTGTTTCCTCTTTTATTAAATACAAGTTCATGCTGTTGCCTACTTTTCTATGGCTTGTTCATGATTTTTCCACTGTTAAGAGTTATTTCTATATTCCTGATGCTAATTCTTTGTTATTGATTGCTATATTGCTAATATCTTCTCACACTTTGTAATTCTTCATTTTCTTTTGCATGTCTATTGATAAACAAAAGTTCTCAATTTTAATACAGACAAATATACCAAAATCTTTCAAAGAAATCTTTCAAAATCTTCTGTATCCCAGGATCAGAAAAATAGTCACCAATAATTTTCTACTTAGAATTTTAAAGTTTTGTTTAGAAAGACAATTAAATCTCTATTCCATCTAGGACTACTAAATAAGGTAGAGATATTAGACAGAATTTTTCTTATGAGTAACCATCCTTCCATTTCTATTAATTAAATAGTTCTTCTTTCCCTGCTGATTTAATCTGGCAACTATCACTGTTGTGTGTGCTGAAGTCATAGACTCAACTCTGCTGGCCAGTTTGTCTATTTCTGCACTGGTATCACACTAACTTGATGAGCTCTTTGGTCTCCTGCCAACTACTCTAGATTGGCCTTTGTACTGGCCACACAGAACTTGTAGTTCGCTTCACACCCAGAGGCTTCTAACTATGGCAGAGTCACTGAAAGAATAATATTGGTATGCTCCCTTTTCTTGAATAGAGAAGTGGCTTTTTAGTTAAGCTCTCAAACCCAGCTCTCATTTTAATAGAGACTCCCCTTTTCTGGTTTTATTCTTACCTCTGCAGCTCCTGCTTCCCCACTCTCTTCACAGGCTCATCCTCACTGCCCAGACCAACATTTGCAGTTCCTCAGGCCTTGGCCCTGTGCTTTCTCTCCTACTATTTAGTGATTTTTCTGTGTATGATCTCATGCATGCTTGTGGTTTTAGGAACTTCCTGTACCCACGTGGCAAGGTTCTCTCAGCTATAGATTTGTATATCTGACTATGCCCTTCACCTCTCCACTGAAACACCACAAACTTGTCCAAAACTGACCTCACACTATTGCTCCTTTCTGAGATGTTGTCCTCTTCTGGTGTATCTCATCTCTGTGAAAGGCATGACCTACAATCTTCTTTCTTGTAAGTTAATTATGAAAATCATCCTTTCACTTTTTTCATGTACCACTCCTTCTGCAATTGCTACTTGCTTTTTTCTCTTAAATGTTTTCTTGCACCTACTCACTTCTTTCCATTAGCATAATTACTGCTAGTCCAATGCACTACCCTTCTTACTTGGACCTCAGATATAGCTTTGTACCTTATAGACAAGTATCTTGATATATCACCTCCTGCCTCCCACCTTCAAAACCAACAGAGCATTTTTCTTAAAACACAGATAGTCTTGCACACTGGGACATGTAGAGCCCTGCACAGGTCAGTCACTACCCTCTGCTTTGCTCTTGCTCTGTTAAAGTAAAGTCATGAGCCTTCTATTTCACCTGAATGCACTGCCTCCAGATTCAGTACTAGAGGTTGAACCCAGGACCTCATGTATGCTAGGCATGCACTCTAGCACTGAGCTATAACCAGGCTTTAAAATTTTTATTTTGGGGCCGGGGATTTAGCTCAGTGGTTTTGCCGCCTGCTGCACAAGCGCAAGGACCTGAGTTTGATCCCCGGTACCAAAAAAAAAAAATTTATATTGGAATAGATTTGTTAAATTGCTCAGACCACCCTTGAATTTGCAGTCCTTCTGCTTCAGGCTCCCAAGTAGCTGGGATTATAGGTTGCAACATCATGCTCAGTTTCACAATCCCTTTTGATGCAGAACCTTTATACATGTTGTTCATTTTTTTCTAGGATGCTCTCCCTTCCTCTTTTACCTATTAAACTTGTATAGCGATATTTTGGATTTTAGCTTATTCACCATGTCACCCTCCAATATCACATGAACAAAACTGAGCAACTGTCCCTAAGGAGCTTATATGCTGAGGTATGTTGAGGGGATAGTTGGAAAAAGTAGTGTAGGAATTTATATAGTAAACACGAAAGCAAGACAATAAAATAATTTAAAAGTAATTTTAAGTCCTATTTAGAAGATAAGATTCAAACAATGGGATGGAGAATGCTTGAAGATGCTTCTTTAGCTAGTATTTTTAGGGAGAATATTGAGGGAATCAAGTCCTAATGGATGACAAGGGGCTAGCAAACATCTAGAAGAGCATTTGACAAATGTGGTTGGTGGATAGAGATCATATTATGAGTGAAATTTGGAAAGGAGTTGATGAGGCTTACATAGAGAAAACATGTGGATTAAAAAGGAAAAAAAATTAGGTTGACTTTTAGCCTAAACAACTGAGTAAATAATTATTGGCAAGTGGCAGCCCAACAAGGTTTTGTTAATTGTAGTTGTAAAATCTTGCCACAGAGTCAGCTGAGTAGAAACAAGGCATGGCTGGACTCTCTCCATGCCAGATCCTCACTTGATAGCCTGGCTTCGGGTTTGGATGGTGGACACTGGCATTGGGAATACTGGTGCAGGATGAAAGGGTTGTTCTGGTCTGTGACACAGAAAGGTCTATGGTGGTACATTTAATGTGTCATGGTTACCCGCAGTGACCATAGCTTGGGAAACCCTAACAAAAGCATTATACTTCCAGGACTCAGCTGCCATGTCCCTGTGGGGAAAGCAGCTTGATAGGTTAGTGCTTTACTCTATCCTCTTCCCAAGATCATAGGTGATCCCTATCAATAGGATAGGGTTTGGGTTGAGTTGGTTTAATGCCCCATTCTGTCTGTCCTGCCCTGAGACTACTGCCTCTGTGGACACCAATTTTCTTTATGGCTTAGCCCAGACCGTTCAGCCTCTGTTTTCCAGTCCAAGAAAGGAGACCATGTCTTGTATAAACTTGACAAGTCCAAAAATATTGCCCATAGAATTGGAAGTATCAGACAATTCCAGTGCCACTAAAGACACTCTTGTACCTTGACACTATTTGGTCATATTCTCTACTTACGTAAGCTTGTATAGGGGGAGCATCACCTCTAGATTAGAGTTGGAGGGTAGGTAACTAGGGTACTATCACAAACCACACCAGGACATGTGCTTTAAAGAGAAATGGGAAAAGCAATGACTAGAATACTAAGATTGGGATTTCACAGTTGCTGTTCAGTCAGGTGGTTGCCTGGCCCACTTCTACCTGCACCAAACATGCATTTCCTAACACACACTGCAATGCCAAGATTCTCCTGCACTAGAGTCAGTATTTACCGCCCTAGTGAGATCGGGTTCTACCCTGTAGGAGCTGACTTGATGTCCTTCCTTAAGTTTTTGTGTGAGATGGCAGCTACCTCTTCCAGTGTCTCCATATGACGGGGTGCGTGGGAAACCCATTGCCTTCCATTTGAGTGTGCCCATTCTTGTATTGTTTGGGCAGTGAAAGATGTTCCTTGATCAAAGTGAAGTCTCATGGGGTATTCAAAAATATGACATTAATTTCTCTCGAGAGAGGGCATGGTAGTTCCTGATCCACATAAATTGACACATATTTATCCTTTTCAGCCAGAAAATTGTTGCCACAGTTTTTGTGTCCATATAGGGATTTTTAATAGTCTATTCTCTCAGTTATATTCTCCTAGCCAGGAGCTAGCCTGTTGGCAACAGGCAGTGAATTGGTGAAAATTCAATGAGTCACAGAGGGAAGAAGGCTGCTGAGGAGGTGATAGCAAGGGTTTTTCCTTTTGTTCTGATCTCTCTGTTAGTCCCTTTTCTCTTTTATTTTTTGACTTTCTTTTCTCTGTATTCTCTTTTTCTCCTCCATCTC